ATAAATATAAGAGGAAAAAATCGGTGTCTCCGAATGTGCCTAAAAAATAAAAAACATAAAAAACATAAAATAAGATTAAAACAAAAAGTAGAAAAGAAACAACAAACAAACAAACAAATAAAAAAAAATGATCGCGCAAAATTTAATGCGAAAGACGTTCGATATAAAATAAATAAATAAAAAAAAAAATAAAATAAAAGATATCGTTCGATCTACGTTAAATTTGATTTTTGTTTTTAAATTATTATTCCTCGAGAAAAGAATTTTTTGTTACTTTTGCCGCGGTATATTATTTCCTGATATTATATATATAAATAAATAAATAAATAAATAAATAAATAAACAATTGTATACAAGTATTTATATACTCGTATTGTTAGTGTGCGTTTTTAAATTATCACGACAACGTTTGGTATCAAACGTTAAAGTTTGTTACCAAAAAAAAAAAACCCACAAAAAATACAGATACCAAAAAAAAAGCAGGTCTTCCAAATAAATCTCAACAAGCCAAAGATTATTTATTTTTCTGTTTCTCCTCCCCCGCGTTAAAATAAAACTGAAGAGAAAAAGAGACATAGGGTTGTTAAGAATTAAGAGATGGAAAGGGGGAAAAGTTTAAGGGAGATTGAAAACGGTTGAGAGTTCATTGGACAGGATTGTTGGACAGTAATAATTAATTATTTAATTAATTGAGACCAAAAAAAAAAGAGAGAAGAAATTAAGAAATTATTTAATTATTTACTATATCATTATAATCAAAAATAAACGAAGACAAAGTTTTTCATTTAAATTTAAAACAAAATTAAACAAAAATAAAAACAAAACTAAAAATAATATAAAAACGCGAAGTGATAAATTGTGTGTAAAAAAAAAAATTCAATAATTAAGAGCCAATGCTATATGTAAGACTGAAAACAAAGAAAAAGAAAACTGAAAAAGAAATTTGCTAAAAGTGAGAGAGAGAGAGAGAGAGAGAAAGAGAGAGAGAGAGAGAGAGAGAGAGAGTGAGTGAGAGAGACAGAAGTATAAATAAATAAATAATTAATTATCATAAACGGATATTTTTGTGCCAATATTTTACATTATTCGTTATTTGTATGATTATTATTATCATTATCTTATTACTATTATTTTTATTATTATTATTATTATTATTATTATTATTATTATTATTATTAATAAAATAACTATGTAATTTAGGTTTGAGTAATTAGAATGCAATACTCGAATGCATCGAGCACGAAGATGCCTATAGTTGTTTAATAAACAGATAATACCAAATGAAATTACAATCGTACGTGAAGTGTGGTAAACGAGATGATTGAAAAATTGTCAACCCAAGGTAAAAACAACATTTAAAAAAACAAACATAAAAAAAGAAAATAATAAAAAGTTTCTTTTCTTATAAATGATAATAAAACAACTTTTCAATCCAATCGTTGATATACTCTCGTGTACGAATATAAATATATAATAACATATATATATATAAATTATACATAGAAAAAAAAAAGAAGAAAGAAAAAAATTACACACATGTGCATATACGTGTATATGTTTATATGTGTGTGTATTTAATGCCTGAACTAATGAGGAAAGAGTGCGTATTGATTATTATGAAATATTACGAATGACATATTATTATTATGAGAATGATTTAATTAAATAATTAAAAAAAAGAAAAACAAAACAAAAAGAAAAATCAGATTTATATTTTTCCCGTACAATTTTTGTAAATGAATTAATAATATTTAAAATTTATTTTTTTCTAATTTTTTGTTTTTATAATGAGTTATCATTAGATCATTCTCATAATCGCCGACTCACGTTTACATATATATGTATATTTAAAAATGTATATACCATGTGTAAAAATGAAAAATGAATTATTAAGCGAATTAATTTCTATATTTTTGTTTTCTTTATTTTCTTTTGCGAAATTTCGAAGTTTTGAAAAAAAAAAATATATGAGACTCGAACGAGGAATATATTTTTGTGTTTTTCGTTTAAAAGTGAGAGAGAGAGAGAGAGAGAGAGAGAGAGAGAGAGAAAGAAAGAGAGAAGGAGAAAGAATAGGAGCAAAGATGAAAAATAAAAAAAAAATAAAAATGATATATAAAAAAAAAATACCTCTAGTATTTAAGGAGATCAATGATAATAATTAGTCAGTAAGGATGCGTTCATTGTAGAGAGAAATAGCCGAAAGAAAAAAAAAAAAGAAAAAAAAATATATATATATATATAAATATATACATAAACAATACATAATATATATATTAATGCATACATATATTTAATTAT